GACGGAGTGTGAAGATGTGGTCAACGCAGCCTCTACCCGGTCGAAATCCCGCTTGATTCTCACGAGTCAAGACTTCGCGTGCCGCCATGAGACGACGAAGAATCAGTGACGTCAAAACAGGGGTCAAGCTAACACCTCTCTGGTTGGTACATTTACTGCGAGTACCCTTTTTGAAAATGGGCACCACTATCGATTCAGCCCAGTTGTCTGGGACGGTTTCCTTCTCCCAGATAGACAGATAGATTAGACGGACAGTGACTGAGGACTCCACCGCCATCCTTGAAGAGAGCAGGTGGAAGTTCGTCAGAACCAGCAACACGATGGCGCTTGAGTAGAGAAATGCATTCGGGCACTTCTGAGACTGAGAGCGGCTCCATATTTATGGTCCACTTTTTTGTTGAAGGCCAGGTTTCTGGATTGGAGGTGGCAGATGGTCAGCTGAATTGCTGCTCAAAGTACTGTGCCCAGCTGTCCAAACGTTCTGCTTTGCTGCATATCAGGGAGCCATTTTTGTCCCTGATTATTCTGCTGACAAGAGTTTCCTGAGGACCAGTCGAACGAAACCAGTGGAACAATTTGTGCACGTTTCCAGCATTCTTTGCATCTTCCATTTCTTCGAACTTTCGGGTCCACCAAGCTTCTCGTTCTGTGCGGACACTCATTTTCACCCGGCGTCGGATGATGCGCTGGGTGGAGTTGTGGTTGTGGCCAGGTGGGATGTATCGCCGGATCTCCAGCAATGACATGGTCCTGTCAGAGATCCAATGCTTGGATCGGGTTGGCTGGGTTGTACCGCAAACAGACATTCCAGCTTTGAATAGCGCCTTGGATACTTTTTCTCAGTTGTCGTATAAAGGAGGTGTCCAACGTGTTATAATTTTTGTTAGCTACCTATTATTCCGGAATAATTGAGGATATCTGAAAATCAGGACCACTGTTTGGTGCGTCGTATCTGTCAACTTCAAGCCAGCCAACTGCGCGTTGAAGATGGTCATACAGAACTACAC